TTTTAACTTTCAGTAGAGAGCAGCAGAATTGGACATCATTGCTCCCAGACAAGGGACTTACTCCCTTACCCATGGTATTAGGGCTGAGCTTCTCATGGGGACACTATGGTAGGCACAGATTTGGTGAACACAGACAAGAAAGGGTTTCTTAGAGACAGGAGATCATATTTTTCTTATTTTGGCTAAGGAAAAGTATATGAGCTCCTAAATAATGATGCTCTGAGAGACACCTAGACCAGAAGGAGGTTTAAAACAGTATGGAGAGTTGGGCATGGTGTCAGGCACCTGTAATCCCAGCTACTCGGGAGGCTGAGGCAGAAGGATCCCTTGATCCTGGGAGTTTGAGTTCAACCTGGACAACACAGAAAGACCTCATCCCTTTAAAATAGAAAACAATATGTAAGTAGTAGGGTTTTTTTGTTTTGTTTTGTTATTCTGTATATAGTAGATAGCAGAGAGCAAAAATATTTTGTAGATTTGTCTTATGTTTGGTAGAAGGCAGATGATACTCTGTGTTATGTAAAGTTAATGGAATACAAGTGGGGTAGGCTTAAGCAAGGTAAGACATATAATAATTGGTGGGATGGGGAAATGATATTTGAATTACGTCTAAAATTGTCTCTGTCACTCTTTTGCTCTTCTTTGCGGTTTTCTTAGGTCACTGGACCTATTTGGGCTGGGGAGAACAGCAGAGTACGTAAGAACTGAAATTCCTTTCAATTTTCTTGATCTTACCTTTTAACATACTCCCTCTGAACTGTGAAGCTGGATATTCATGCATACAAGGGTATATAATTCCATTCACCTACTCTCCCACTTAAATCTCAGGAGACAATTACCTGTCATGGAATGTTATATCCTTTCAGGCTGATTTCTTAAAGACTCCGTGTGTGTGTGTGTGTGTGTGTGTGTGTGTGTGTGAGAGAGAGAGAGAGAGAGAGAGAGAGAGAGAGAGAGAGAGAGAGAGAGAGAGAGAGAGAGAGAGAGAAAGAGAGAGAGAGAGAGAGAGAGAGAGAAAGAGATAAATTTCAAACCAAGGTCCTAGTCACAATCCCAACACGATTTCCTGATTTTTAGTCCCCAGAGACAAGTAGTACCATCAGCTTCTGAGCGTAAGGAACCTTTTCTTTTGGTCCCTTGGCTAAGGAGTCCAGTGACCAGAAGGAGAAGGCTTATTCTAAGATGAACAAGTGTCAGAGTAATTGTTGTGTATTTTGATTTGGCTGGATTTCTTGTCTGTATATTACACTAAGATTGGGGAGATATGCAGAATAGACTGTTGTTGGTCTAGCAAAGTGCAAATGCTATTTCAGGCAGAAACCTCTTGGGAAGGAAACAAGAGGCTGAGAGGGCGTGGTTTGACTTTCCTTGAAGCAGCCCAACTAGGCTGGAGGCCACCTTTGTTCTAGAACTTAGAGAATGGGCAGCCAGTTCTTTGCAGCAGAATTACTGGTTGTGTTACCCATCTGACAGGGGATCTGGTTGAGTCTCAGTGATTAAGTATCTAACAGGTGCTGAGAAGGGCCAGATCTTGTCCTGTCACTGGAATTTCTCACAAAGTATATAGTTTCTGGGTATTTCTACTGTTAGGAAACAGATCAAAAGAAGCCTAAGAGAGCTTAGATAAGTTAAGATTTTCAAGTACAAAAAAATAACCAAGCCGTGAAAAAAATGTATGAATTTTCTTTCCTTTCTTTGGCTGATAAAGTTCTAGCTGTGCTCTTAATTCAAAGACAGGAACTCAGTCCGTGAGTACTATATGCAAGGCAGCCTCATTGTTCTATACTTCATTCAGTTTCATTTGTGTGCGTACTGTGTGCTTGGAGATCCATCTTTGCCCCAGATTGGATTACTTTCCCCAGCCTACTTTTCTAGGTTTATTTTCTCATTCTCTCCATGTCCTTTTATTTACCTGCCAAATGAACTACAAAATGTTTCTCAAAAATATATAGCCTTTCCAGCTGGTCTGATGGTAGTGGGTTATCAGAATTTACTAACATTAGTGTCACTAAAGTTGATATACAACCCCTCACTGCTAAATTTGACTGGCTTAAATATATATATATATATATATATATATCCTTTCCAGCTATTGAGCCTTTAATCATGCCATTGTTTTTATCCAGATTCTAGAAGGTATTTGCCCTCTCCCTCCAGTCTTTACCTCTGAAAAGCTTTCCGTACTCACCCTATCAGGAAGTGATTTTACTTTCCTTTTAACTCAAATAGCACAAACTTGCTTTGTGCTATTCTCACGGTAGTAACTTCCTTGTATAATTTCCAATATTTGTATCTATATTTTCTCTTTCCTATTAGACTGACCCTATACTTTGAGTCTTTTGTGTTGTTCAGCGTTGCACATGTGGGCATGCAATAAATGTTTGAGTAAATGTCCCCAGCCTTTGAGTTTTCCATTCTTCAAATAGACTTTCTCAGGGGCCTTTCAACTTTTGCCTTCAAACTAGCTCACAGGTCTCCCCTTAGGCTGAGTAACCAGACCTGCACTCAGCTTCTTTTCCTATAAAGCCAGGAATTTTCTGGTCTAACATGGTGCTGTGGGTAGATTGCAGAGTCAGCAAGAGATTGACACTGACACACTAAAAACAGTTCTTTTATTCAAGCTGAAATATCACACATTTTCCTAAATTTCCCTTTTTAGTTTCTTATCAGGCTTGGTGGTGCCAGGAGGTTTCCTTTTTAGGGAAATTGAAGGTGATGTAGGGGAGAAAAGCTGGCCTCTCCTTTGTCTCACTTCACTTCTTTGTATTGCCTTTCTCCTGCTCCCTTCTGCTTTCCATATTCTCCCTTCTACTCCCAGCCTCTTCTTTCCATAGACCCTTTGTTTCTTAATATTTGCCCTTGGTTTCTTTAGTATAGAAATGTTGTTATCCTTTAGGAAAGTTGGGGGAGTATTTCTCCCTGTAGCCTAGCAAAATAAAAAAAAGCAGAGCATTATTTAGGAATAACAGGTCGGATGCAGTGAGAAAGTAAGGGTCCTTGGAAGTACTTCCTGGCTTTGGATTGTGGGCTCCTGACTCGGGATGAGCTACCCTCTCTGCCTTATAATCAGTAGGATTGTCTATCACTGTTGCCTCCTTGGAGACTCAGTTCTTTTGGTTTAATGCGGATACTTTTCCTGCTGGAGTTTAAGAAGTCTTCTGGTTTTGTCTCCTTTATTGCCTCTGGCTCCTCATCTGGTATGCATGAATAGTCCAGTCCTGACTTCTTCAGACTTACTCTTTCTATGGGTTCAGAAAGAATTAAGTCTGAATGGCATATTGGTTTTGTCTCTGGATCCTTTCTTTCTAGTCTTCAGAAGAACAAATGCATCAAGGGCTAAAACCAGTGCCTCCAAAGTCTCTTTTCCTAATGTGTCAAAATGTTTTGTAAGCAGAATGCTTTTCATCCCTATTGTTTGCTTTTGTTTCCAATCTTTGCTGCTCCTGCCCTGGTGAAAGGACTACTTGCTTTAATTGGCAATATTACTAATAACTGTTTCCAACCGTTTGAAGGTTAGCCTCTTTCTCATGTTCATATTTTTCCTCCTGGAGTTCTGATCACTCTCCTCTCCTTGTTTTTATGTTAACATGTTACCCTGAACTCACATGTGAAAATCTCATAAGATCATCTTACCTCTACTAGCCTCCAGCTGTACCCACAAATGTTATCAGGAATCCAATGCTCAAAATTTCTTCCTTGCCTGTAAAACCCACAGGTTTGTCTTTTAGTGAAATTCATATCTACCAGATTGTCTCATGGAAGCCAAGGTGTCATTTCCCTGTTACCTTCCATTTGTCCCCAGGTTTTATCAATTCTGTCTGGAATTTTCTTCTTCTAGGTCATTAACTTTTTTCCAGTTCCACTGCATGGATTTGGGTCCTTATCCCCTGCCTGAGCAATTGTAAAAGCCTAATCTTACGGTCTTTAGGCAGCTTCCGCTGCCCACGTTGCTACCAGGATTATCTTTTAAAATTACTAACAAGAGGAGTCCATCCTTCCTTTTGGGATGGTGAATGTTCCTTTTTTTCACTGTGAGCCAAGTAGGAACTTGGCAAGAAAGGACATGTGGAACCTCGTTAATCATACACATATGGGTATGGTGTCAGATGTGGCTTCTTCTCTATAAAATAGTACAAAGCATTAAAGCACTATTAGGTTGAGCTCCCTTTTCAAGCACAGTATTTATTTGTAACTGGTAATTTTAGCGAACATTAGGGAAGAAACTGTAGCTGGTCAGGTGCTAGCCTGAAAAGCAGAAATAATTCTATGAAATTGTAGTCACTGTTGTTAGATAAATTTAGCTGCATTGTCAGCAAGATCCCCTGGACAGTGCATATGTTTTCCTCTTCTCTCAGCCTGTGCTCTGGATTGGAATTCTGGCCCCAGGGTATAGGTGCTTGACAGGAATTGTTAGAAAAACCTATATTGCAGGAAGACAGTAAGACTACTGCTGTTCTCAGCTATATCTAGAGCCTTTGACTTGACTTCTAAGCCTTGGCTTTGACCTTCCTGATTTTCAGGACCAGCTTCTGATGTTGGAACTGCTTATTGTTCCAACAATAATCTAGTCCTTGGATTTTAAAGTCTGAAAACATGAATCCAACTTTAAACAAAAATTTCTTTTCTCTAAGATGTGGCAAAGCTATTCCATGCGCCCACCCCCCCCACCTCCTTGATAATGGTAGAGGACCAGATCTATTTGTAACATTTAAAAGCAGATTTTAATTAGGGTTATAATAGCTAGAGAAGCAGAATTCTATAGAAATCTACACTGGGAAAATGCAACTTGGAGCTTCTCTAGGAATCAGTTCTAAAATTAAACCAAGTATCTTATCTCATTTGATAAGGAGAGAGATTCATGGGTGTTAATTGAGACAGTTCTGTTCAGGGCTTTGAGGTCACTGGGCTCATGTGCAGCTCAGCTTGCTTTTGTTCTTAAGGTCTAGATTTATGGCTACTAAGTGAGAAACAGGAAGAATTCCAAAGAACTAAATAAAGATGATGTACTTTGATTGACTGTGCTTATTCCACAGCTTTTGAAGACCCTGATAGTGCCATGGATGACCGAGATAGTGACTATCGCAGTGAGACCAGCAGTAGCATCCCGCCTCCTTACCATACGACTTCCCAGCCCAATGCTTCTGTGCACCAGTTCCCTGTGCCAGTGCGGTTGCCACAGCAGCTGCTACTTCAGGGCAGTTCCCGGGACTCTTGCAATGATTCTATGCAAAGTTATGACCTTGATTATCCAGAGCGGCGGGCCCTCAGGTGGGTATTGGGAACAAAGTACTTTCTATTTCTATCACCAGGTCCTATGATACACCTGACAATAAGGATTTCAGTGCTTTAACCTGAGGTGGTAGTAGAAGTATAGCAGAATGATGGGCCAAGCTGCAGTCATTTTGTGTAGATTATCAGTCTTGTTTTCTCTTCTACACATTCACATTTATATGTTACCATCAGGAATACTTTTTTATGATCAGCAATTGTCAGCTGATGAGGGCATGCCCATTTGGGGTGTATCACTGAATAAAACCTGCCCACCCCCCTCCCGACTCAGTGATTTTGATATAACCTTCTCCAAGATTAAAAAAAGAAAACCATAGATGTTAAATGTTTGGATAATCCTTTCTGCCTGAACATTTCCCTGGGAACTTCAGAAGAAAACCGATATGATCTCATCATAGTAGATTCAGTAATTTTGCTGGAGCTTTTTTTTAATTTTATTAGTTTCTTAAAATATAAAACATTTATACAGTTAAGAAAAACTTAAGGTACAATATAGCATACAGTAAAGAATCTCCCACCCACACCTGTTTTCTTCCTCCATTCCATCCCCTTACTGTCTCCTAGTTCCTTCCTACTGTTTCTTATGCATCCTTCCATAGCTTATTTTCATATATTTATGAGTATAAAGGCAAATACATACATATGTGCTCCCTCCCATTTTAAATGAATATTTCAAACTTAAAATTTGGAGAAATAATAAATACCTATATTGCCTAGATTCACCTGTTGTAACATCTTGCCACATTTACTTTATCTCATTCTCTCTAATATATATTGATATATACATACTTTTTTTTTTCTGAACTGTTTGAAAGAAAGTTGCAGATACCATGTTACTTCACCAGAAAGTATTTCAGCATGGTAGTCCTAAGAAAAAAGACTTTCTCTTACATAACCTCAATACTATGATCACATTCAAGAGATTTCATTATACAATGATATTATATAGACCTTATTTAAATTTCTTCAGTTATCCCAGTAATGTTCTATGTATATATTTTTTCCTTTCTGATCCAATCAAGAATCATGGTGCATTGCATTTGATTTTCATGTTTCTGTAACCTCCTTTAATCTAGCAAAATTCCCTTACTTTTTTTCCCAGTCTCTTAAGAAACTTTTTTGAAGAGTCCAGGCCAGTTGTTTTGAGAATGCCACTTAGTTTGGTTTTATCTGATTGTTTCTTCATGTTTAGAATAAGGTTAAACATTTTTGGCAAAAATACTACATAAGGTGATATTTCCTTCA